TTTGAGAGACAGAGCATGAATGGGGTGGGAGGACAGAGAGCGGGAGACAGAATCCAAAGCAGGCTCCAGGCTCTGAACTGACAGCACAGAGCCCAATGTGGGGCTTGAACTCACGGACCATGAGATCATGACCTGAGCCGAAGTCGGGTGCTTACCAACTGAGCCACCCAGGTGCCCCACGTACAGTCTACATTTTAAATGTTAGATTTGCAAATGCCAGAATCATTCATGCGGCCTTCAGAAGGCCAATTTTAGGGGAGCATATTTCCTGAAGAGAAGACAAATTAGTACGTCACAAGTTTGCCTGTGGCCGAGCCTTGGCATGAAATTCTGATGTATGGAATATGTGTTCTCATGTGTTACTGTACGTGCTTGTAGGGATCTGGGGAATTCTCTTACCGAGGGCGGTAAACGTCTCACTTTGCAAAGCACAGTTGTTGATGAGTAAGGACTTCAGGGCTGGTAAAAATCGGAGCCGGCTGAGTAGGTTTTCAGAAGAGCCGCCCATCTTTTTGTTGGCAGATAAATCCAACTCTTGAAGACTCGAGAGTAAAGGGATTACCTGGGCTGTTAAAATGTCAGCAGTGACGTGTTTTAGGCACCATCTCACAAAGAGTGTTCTGGGTGTTTGGGTCCCACAATCTCCCTCCTTGACACACCCCTGCGCACACGCACACCAGCCACACTTCCCAATGTACAGCTTGGGCTTTTCTGCTTCCAAGCCTCTCTTCAGGCTAGAAGTTAAGACCAAAGATTCTGGAGACAAAACTGGTTCTAATCCTGCCTCTGCTGCTAAAGAATTGTATGACTTCAGGGAAGTCACTTAACTTCCCTGAATCTCGGTTTTCTCAATAATGAGAAGAATAACAGTACTTCACAGGGTCATTGGAAAGATAAAACAACTGAGTATATTTAAAGTACTTGGTACATGGCCTGGCACACATTAACAGCTCAATTAATGTTCAGTGTCATCATTCTTTTCTCAGAATAAAGTAATAAGTACGAGGAAGGCAATGAAAGCGCAGTCAGGATGGAGGTCTGTTGGTGACAGCACTGGCTTGGGGTCCTGAGGGCCTTGCTGTGCCAGGAGTTGCTCCTGCTTCACTATCTTTCTGCTACTTTTCGTGCTTGCAAGCCTTTGGCCTCGCTCTTTCCAGTGTGGGAGATGCAGCATCCTGGCATCTCTGTGGGGCTGGCTCACCCCTGAGAGCCTTCCAGGGACACCTTGGTCACATAACCCCTTGGTCACTATCACACCACCCTATTTATTTTTGCTTCTGTGAGGTCTGTATGTAGGGCCTGCTTCATCCCCAGAGTGTGCATCAAAGTCTAGAACACTGGAGGCACACACACATTTGTGGGAGGAGGGACGGAGGACGGGAGAAAGGCAGAAGAGAGAAGGCAGGCACGTGTAATCCCAACAGATGTAACTGTTTCTTCCTCTTCCAACCCTCACAGCACTGCTCTTCACCATGTAGTTGGTTTATTCCTGTCCCTGCCAGACTGAAGCTCCCTGACTGTGAATTTGCCTTTGCCCTTGGCACAGTGCTCCATACAGCTAGATGATTGGCTAAATGATCTGTAATTCCATTTCTTTGGAGCTGTCTAGAATGATCAGAAAGAAGAATGGGGAATTACTTAATACCATAAGGTATACATAGGATGTATGTTCATTTCCATCTTTTCAAAATTAGACAGTTTGCTACAGTTATTAAATAATCATTAGCTTTCCAAGGCCATCCACCCGTGTTGGTGGCTGCAAATGTAGAAAGAGAGGCTAATCCATCCCTTGTGCTTATGCTAGTGGTAACAATGGAGGTGCTCTAGCACCGTACCCTTCCTCTGAGTAACAAGATGAGTAACAACGTTACTCAGTTGTACCGAGGGAACTTCATTCTTTGGGATCTGATGCATTCATAACCCAGGAGTGTCTCCTCCAAGCATGACACTCAGAAGTAAAGGGGATGGTGATATTCCATAAGGCTCCACTTGGAGCCCAGAAACAGATTGTTACTTAAAAATCTTTAATGAAAGGCTTGGACGCTTCTGTTTTTCAAATTGAGGCCTAAGAGTCTAAAATGTAATTTAGCAGGTCTCAGGATGCCTGGGAGTTTCAGTTGCTTAAGCGTCCAACTTTGGCTCAGGTCATGATCCTGCAGTTCACGAGTCTGAGCCCTGTGTCAGGCTCTGTGCTGACAGCTCGGAGCCTGGAGCCTGCTTTGGATTCTGTGTCTCCCTCTCTCTCTGTTCTTCCCCCGCTCACACTCTGTCTCTCTCTCTCTCTCTCTCAAAAATAAATAAACATTAAAAAATAAAAATAACGTAATTCAACAGGTCTAAAATATAGACGTCAGACCTAAGAACCTATTTTAACTCGTTTCCTTCCCCAATCGTACTAAAAACAACTAAAAAATTGTTTCTAGTCTTGTTTTTCATGGATTCATTCTTTCAATCAGTCATAGTCAACAAGCATTTGTGGGGTACCAACTGTGGGCCCGAGCAAAGGGGAGGTTCTGAAGGTGTTCCCAACACAGGAGGGGCCCCTGACCTGGAGAGGGAGCGAGGACAAAGGCCCCAGGGACAGAGGTCAGCACGCACAAATGACCGGGGTAGAGTCAAGGAGGGGAAGGGTAGAGAATGAGGTCACAATGATAGAGGAGGAACTGGGAGACCATTTGGACTCTCAGGAACCTAGGCCCGACAGGACGGTGGCCTGAACCAGGGTAGTAGAAGTCTAGGTGGTGAGCTGTGGTCTGAATCTGGAGGTATTTTCAAGGGTTACTGTGGTCACAGATGGACTAAAAACCTTAATGGCAAGGCTGCACTTGCGCTGTTTGTTATAAGAAACTGCATTTATACATTATGTGGGGTAATTACAGGATTGTGTCTATGGTGGAAAGTGGGTGTGTGCCCTAAAGTTGTAACGTACACCCATTATGCACCACCCTGCTGACTTGTGTAACTTTGTCTGTATCTAAGGGGCTTGGCTTCACTTGTTAGTCAGAAAGCCTCAAGGCCCTTTGTTCAGCTTTCTTTCCACATCCGTGTTTGAAATAAACTTTGTGACTCACAGACTCATTTCTAAACAGCAACACATATTCAAAATTTTCTCCTTCAAGTGCCACATCCATCATTTACAAACGTGTTTAGGAGGTATTTAGATGTGCTAATACTTACTGGGCACTTCATACATGCCAAATACTAGATTGGAGGCATCCACAGAACTTTTTAGGATGTGACGCTTTCAGTAACTCCATAAACTGTAAGTTTAAGGGGACGCCTCGAATTTACCAAGTTTCCAAACATATACTGAGGTTCCAAAAGTCCTTCCTTGGCTCTACAGTTCACACTTACTCAGCGACATCACGTCATCTACCGTCAGCGAGCACTGGTGAAGATCCAGGACTTCTAGATGCTCCAACATGGCCAACTGAGCTGACGAGTCTTCAAAACCTCCACCCAGCTCCTTGTTGCAGGAAAGGTCTAATTTCCTCAGTTCACACAAGTACCTAAAAGCAGCATCTACAAAGAAAGTCAAAAGTCCCATTTTGACAAATTACAAGGTGGAAGGCAGGTGCGTAGAGGGAGACGGAGAAAATACACTGGGCTGAGAAAAGCCAAGGCGAAGGAATAACTTTAGACTTCCTACCATCTGGTCATCTTTGGACCTGACCGTGGCTTCTAACACACACCATCCGTGATCTGCAACGCGTGCCAATGGCTCTGGTCAAACCCTGCAACTAATGGTTTTCCTCCTCCTACACTGGAGCATTGGCATTTCAGAGAATTCTAGACTTAGGCAAACTGCCAATGAGAAGGATATTACAGGCTCTGTAAGTTGAAGGGAAAAACACAATTTCATTTCATGGTCTCCCTTACTGTGGATACTCTATATAGGGGAATAAATTTTAACTACAGATGCCACTGATGCTGTTCTTTTCATCAGTACCAACTCCGTCCTACTACTAAGCATAAAATAATGCTGACATTTTTCAAAAGTAAGAGAAAAATGGAGAGCTTCAGTAGCACATAACTTTTATTTTGCCCCATGTCTATCTCAAACCCAAAATACCCTGGCCTTTTCAGAGGCAGTCATTTTAAAAGGTTGTTTTTGTAATCGTGCAAGTATATGCTTGTCGTAAAAGACTTAGAAAGTAATAAAACAAGGAAGATTTAAATTACCTATCATCTTATTCCCCAGCCTAACCACTGTGCATATTTTGTTGAATGTCCTAACAGCAATTATAAAGTAAAATTGCACATGTATATAAAAACCTCACCCAATATTCTGACACTCTTTTGCAATAGTCCACATGAATGTAACTTCAGTACTTTCAGATTTGAGGTACTTTTTAATCCCTGAGCAATACTGTTTAGACTGCCACCGATGTTTCTGTTAATGGAAAGATCAAGTACTTCAAGATTTTGCATCATGGGTAGCAACTGACCTAGAGGGAAGAGAAACAAACAAGAGCAGCTCAGTAAAAATGCAGGGTGTGACTGCTGGGGAAAAAGGGGAGGGCAGCTTCATGTGACCTGGGGGTACAGTGTGCCACTGTTCCAATTCAGGGTAAGAGAAAGCACAGCCAACCTTGACTCCCAGGCTGTCTGATCGTGGGTATCTTCACACTTATTTTCTGGGAAGGACTCATCCAAATCCCACCTACCCACAAACGCCCCATCTTCTGATGTGAGGTTGCAATCTACGAGCTCAAGTGTTTGTATCTTGCTCCCTTCTTGGAACTTCTGGAGGATCAGAGGCAAGTTTCCTCCCACTTTACTGTTCCAGGACAAGTTCAGCTCTTCCAGCTCAGGTATTGCCTCCAGTGCTTCTCCTGTTACCAAAGAACCCAAAGACTGGATTGATTGCTAGTCCACAAAGCAGGGGATCCATGTCAAAATCAGTACAACCATTGTTTATGGACTAGTATTAGCCGGGCGAGGGACTGGTTAGGCGCCAGGTGCCGAGGAACAGAGTGAAGAAAATGACCCACCTCCAGCCCACTCCCAGCAGTGGGCGCTTCTGTATTTACAGGCACAGCAATTCTAGTCCCTCCAAAGTTCAGAACCATGCCTATGTATAAAAATCATAAGCAAAACAAAACAAAGCAAAACACCCCAAGGGTACCTGGGTGACTCAGTCAGTTAAGCATCTGACTTCAGCTCAGGTCATGATCTCACGGTTCGTGAGTTCAAGCCCTGTGTCGGGCTCTGTGCTGACAGCTCAGAGCCTACAGCCTACTTTAGATTCTGTGTCTCCCTCTCTCTCTGCCCCTCCCCAGCTTGTGCACGCTCTCTCTCAAAAATAAATAAATATTAAAAAATTAAAAAAAACCCCACCTATCATTGAGTTGTTTTTGTGGTAATAAATATTTATACTATTCCAACTACTTTCATCCACCCTGTCTGGGGTCATCATTGCTGGGAAGCTGGGCCAGAGGAAGAGGTGAGGCAAAACAGGGCACTGGCCACCACAGGGGTGAAGCTCACCCTGACATCAAGAGTAGCACACACAACTGAAACCGAGCACTGCAGAGAACTAGTAACAAAGCATAAGGCATCAGCCGCTCATAACAGCCATGCAGCCCTGGCGGGTGGAGGAGGATGCAGTGAGAATGGGGTGGAACTTGACATTTCTGAAACCCTTTCACATAGGAAAGCATCTGAGGGCCAGAATGGAGGCTGGGAGAGAGAATAGGGAAGAGCAAGGAAATCCTCTTTAGGAATGATTTCCACGGCCTTGGGTAGAACAGAGGCACATACACGAAAATGCACTTTCTTAGCATACAGAGTCAGTCTCGACACCAAACAATTAAGAGTGCTGGAAAGTCCCTTGTGTCCGGAAGCCTCTCCTCCACTGTCCACTACTGGGCTTGGACTTCTACCATTGGTTATTCACTGTATGGAGTGAGGTTTCAGGAGTGCAGGAGCCTCGTGTTCAAATGCATGTTCTCCCAGCACAGGAATCATTTTGTGTGTCATCGCTAGTCAGCTGGGGTGGCTTTTCTGGGGTGGCATCACCCTGAAGCATTCCCCAGGATCAGAGAGAGAGAGAGAGAGCGCATGACTGATTAACCATGTCTGCAGTGCACATGGTACTGGAGAGCCACGCATCTATCATCCTGCACTAAGCAACTGTAACCAGTGTAGCAGTGATGGAACGCCTCCTGATTTATGGTCTCTTATCAGTCAACCATCTATTCTCCAGGTACCCCATCTGCCATCAAGGCTAAGGAAGACCCCTTCTGATGGGAGAAGATGCAAAAGCCCTTCCAGAGAGGAGTCTGGGAAAGGGAGCAAGGCATAAAACATCACAGCAACAAAGATGCAGACTCTCTCTTGAACCTGGCAAGTTCGGAGTGAGTCCCAGGGCAGAAATTCCATTCCCTGGCTTCTTAAGGCTGGAAGATCATAACACAGATTAGACTCATCATAGAAAATAAACATTTTCTTTTTGTGCCTGAGTGGCAGTGAGTTGAATTTGCAACTCTGCTACACAATAACCAGCTGCTAAATTGATTACTTAAAATCACTGAAAGTTAGTTTTGGATGAGGGAAGAGCAAAAGGAGGGACTATCCATTATTGAGCACATGCTGGGCATGTAGTACATGCTTTAAAGAAATTGGTTAATCCTCACAATAGTTTTCTGAGGTGGATATCAACCCCATTTCAGAGATAAGAAAGCTGAGGCTCAGGAAGGTTAAATCATTTGTCCATGGTCCCAAAGCTAGTTAGAAGTCGGGGTAGGATTTGCACTAGGACCTGGCCTGCTCTCAGACGGATGGTGTTTCTCCTCAACTACAGGAAGTGTAGGCCAGGGGCATCAACTGACCTCGATCTTCCACAGAGGGCAGAGAGAAGACATTTGACATGAACTGTGTTGTCTCTACAGAAATCTTTGCAGAGATGTAAATGATCAAAATATGTCATTGAAATAAGAAACTCCAGACCAAGAGAATTTTTAAAAATGTTAATGGCAGCTGAAACCAGCAAGCATTTTAGTAAAGGGTTGGGTAACATGACAAATTGTATCCTACATTCTATGTTATTCTATGTTCAGTAATTAACTAACTTGAGGTTCTAGTTCTATTGAAACCATTGCTTTTAGTTTTAAAATCTTGCTTTGGTCAATTTTTTTTAAATGGGAGTGGAAAAATAGAAGAGGTTGTTTTCGAATTGGAAAATAACTTATTATCTACCTCAATTTTACAGGTGAGTAAGAGTGAGTAAGCAAATTTGACAATTATCTCCATTTAAATTCCATGAGAGCAGATACCTGACCAACCTTTCTCCTTTCTCTATCCTGGGGCTTAGCACAATGCTAGGTACAGGCTACTTAGCTTTTCAGAAGTTATACAAGTGCCCAGCGTGGCATTTCATCGTCTTTGTGCTCTCATCCATGAGCCCCAGAGGGGCTGTGACCCAGATAGTTTGCCCTTGATGCTTCAGAGCTGCTAGCAGTGAGGCATTCATCATACCCAGTGCTCGAACATCATCAGTGGTAAGTCTGCAACTTCCCAGCCTCAGGATTTTTAACTTGCTGACGAGATGCATTTGCTGGGTGACTGAATGGAGGCTTCCACCTATAAGATCATTCCAGGAAATATCCAGTTTTTCCAAGTCTGGGAGAAGAGGCAGCAAAGCAACTGGAAGGGAACAAGAGAAAAGACAGATTTGCACGTGCAATGTGTAATTGGTAGTACATGGGACCCAGTGCCTATTGCACTGTAAGAGAAGAGGGAGGGGTGGACATGTTGACTTTCAGCAAAGCACGGCTCCCTCAGCCATGCAATCGGGACAGACTGCATTTCCTAGGGCATTTTCTGTTTCTGCCAAAAATGCAGTGGTATCTTCAGATTTCGTACAACTCCTTTATTGTAGTAGAAACGGTAATTCTACTGTTACTAGCATTGTCACTGTAATATGTACACTAGTCCTTTCCATTTTTGCAGAGCACCCTGACGTCCCTCACCCCTTCATCCTAGCGGATCCTCAGGCTGAAAGCAGAGGACTGCACTGTTGGCCAGGGTTGCTGAGATTGAGGGTACTAGTTACCCTTTCTTTGTGATCATCATTGCCTGGGTATCACAGCCTTCTGAAACTCCCATTATATTTAAATGGACCGACATGTGGAGATTTAGATAAGCACAAAGCCTGACCAGAATCTTCTCTGAGTATCTGCCATCACTCATTAAAAGTGAAGTTACTGCCTGCGAAAAACATTCTCAAAGGCCATCTTTATCTCCCGGAGCGACAAGACCCGAGAGTGGAGACTGGAGACTGGAGACGCCAGCCGAGAGGAAGTAAAGCATCTTTGCTTGTTTGTTTTTAAATATGTCTTGAAGGTTAAGGGGCAGCCATCAGAAGCAGCAAGCTGAGGTCTTATAGCTACAGGCACAGCAACTCCAGACCTTCCAAAACTCTGAGGCCATGCTTAGGAGTGAAATTTGTTTTTGCCTTTTGTTTGTTACTAGCTTTCAAAGCAGTTGAGCCCTTTCAACTTGTTCACCAGAATTCTTATGCTTTATAAAGCATAAGTCTATTGAACACATTAAGAAGGAAAAACAATTAAAAGCAGGATTGCTGGGGCCCGCGCTCAGAGATTTCAAGTCAGCGGGTTTGTGCTGAACTCAATGGCCTGTGTTTGCACCAGCTCTGCTAGTGACTCTGACACACAGCCATCTGGAAACACAGGTGCAGTCAGGGTTCTCTCTTAAGAGAGCTGTCCAAAGGAGAACCTGGGTAGCTCAGTTGGTTGAGCGGCCGAATTCAGCTCAGGTCATGATCTTGCGATTCGTGGGCTCAAGCCCTGTGTCAAACTCTGTACTGACAGCTTGAGCCTGCTTTGGATTTTGTGTCTCCCTCTCTCTCTACCCCTCCCCCACTCAGTCTCTCTCTCTCTCTCTCTCTCTCTCTCTCTCAAAAATAAACTTAAAAAAAAAAAAAACAGTTAAAGAGAGTTGTCCAAAATATAATGGCATGCGTTTTAATTAAAATAGTCAAGGACCCCTCACTCAAAATTCAGCTGTTTTGACACCTCTGTGTTGGTAGACACATCTAATTTGATGAAAGACTTGACTCAAGGCATCTGGGAGAAAGAGAAAAGATAAGGTGGCAGTGGTTGTGTGAGGGGGGGGTCTTCACGACCGGACTCCTGCTTACGTGTGACACATGATGGTTACACTCTCATTCCACAGATGACAACACCCTTTTACACGCCCAGCGGGGCTTGGCTCTAGGGATGAGCCACACGAGTTTAGATCGTACGCAAAACAAATGTTTTTCAAGGAAGAAGCAATCGGTAGGGAAGTAAAATTACTCAGGAAAAACAGACAAATGAACCTTCCTCCTAAACTTGGCTCAAATCTTTGTAGCTTGAGGAAAGATTAATTTGTCTTTTGTTGTTGTCTTTTGTTGTTGTTGTTTTAAATAGTGGTGCCGCTGCTCTTCCTGATTGGGTGGGGCCACTCTGCAGACCTCGGGTGGTCAGGTGAGTGATGGGTGTGTTTTGCCTGCTCATCTCCCCTCAAAGGCCCTGGGTCCCTCTGTGCCCAGTCAGCTGCATACAGACCCACTTCCCTCACGTCCGCGGTCGTTAATCCGCAGTTATTCAGATCCAGACACTTGTTGACAGCCTTTCTGCCCAGCTTCTGCAGGAACTGCTCGTTTTTCTCCATCCTGGATCCCAACTCCATTTCTGAAGTGAGAGGCTTAGCTACATTATCAGGAGAAAGAAGAACTTGCTGTTAATGCAGATAGTGTTAAAGACGCACGGCGATCGCTGTAAGACAAGTAAACAGACTAACAACAACCCTGAGCTGGTCCTTGGAGAAACCTCAACCCAGAAGAGGAAGCATTTACCAGGGGACAGAACTTAACCGCTGTCCTGCCTCCCGGTGCTGGACAGTGATCACTCCCATGACCCTTTTCTTACAAAGGAGCCTGAGGAACTCGGTGGCTGTTCTTTCCTGGCCTGACCTAGGTTTCTCCTCTCGTAGACAGTGTTGTTCTCCCTGGACCGAGTAGTAAACTTGTTAGCACAGGGTTGAAGCCGAGCACGGCTGAGAGACGCACAGATGTCTCCGGTGAATGCTCATGGTGGGGAACACAGGTAATTTGACCAAGCAAATTGCCAAATTTGCCAAACAAAGGCAAAGCGTTGCAATCACTGCCAATGGGCTTCAGCTGGCTACAGGGAGCGACTCAAACACTTGCTGCCCATTTCGTAGACCATTCCATTGACAGATGCAGAGACAGTGGTGCCTGGGAGAGCTTTTCTCAACTCCTCCCACAGGACACTTTCAGGAAGACTCATTTGTCCTTCTTGTCACTAGAGACTACTTACATGGCACCCTCACCAAGTTCCTCGGTACTAACACAGTACTAATGTGATAACACTAAAATAATAAAAGCCTTACTTTTTCATTTTTTTTAATGTTTATTTCTGAGAGAGAGCGTGAACGGGGGAGGGGCAGAGACAGAGGGAGACAGAGTCCGAGGCAGGCTCCAGGCTCTGAGCTATCAGCACAGAGCCCGACACAGGGCTCAGGCCTATGAACCATGAGATCATGACCTGAGCCGAAGTCAGACGCTCAACCGACTGAGTCACCCGGACGCCCCTAAAAGCTTTCCATTTATTGAACACCTATTATGTACGAGTGCTGCACCTACCCCATGTGCCAGCGTTTGAGACACGTATAAAATACATCATCCTTTTGGAAGAAAAAATGAATATGCAAAAAAGGGTCAGTGACAGTGACTTTTTAGAGGTTTTATAAATGAAAATGTACAATTTGAAACATATAAAAAAAGTTTACTGGAATCCAATACAAAAGTGTAAGTTCTAAATGTGCAGTAATATTCTACTAACCCTGACAAAGTATAAAAACCACATAGCTAAAAAGAAATACTATATTGGTACCAGTGAAAATCAATGGTAGGACTTCAGTAGTAATCAATTTAAATTTAAATATTAGGAGAGTAATAAGAACGCTACCTCTCCACAGTGTGTCTGGCAGCTTGCTATTTTTTCTATTATAATTTATTGTCAAGTTGGCTAACATACAGTGTGTAAAGTGTGCTCTTGGTTTTTGGGGTAGATTCCTGTGGTTCAGCGCTTACATACAACACCCAGTGCTCATCCCAACAGGTGCCCTCCTCAATGCCCATCACCCACTTTCTCCTCCCTCCCACCCCCCATCAACCCTCAGTTTGTCCTCTGTGTTTAAGAGTCTCTTATGGTTTGCCTCCCTCCCTCTCTGTTTG